ATAAACATACCTTTCTGCTAAATAAATTAAAAAAGAAAGAGAAGCAAGCCAAAAAGAAATACTTCGCCAAACTCACTCTAACTTCTCCAAAATCAGTAACAAAGCCCCCACCTCCTCTTGGTATACTTGCTCAATTAAAAACAAAAAGAAAAAGAGAAATGAACCTTTTTCCGTTATCTCCACAACAACGTGAAAATACTATTACATCTGCTCCAAGCCTCATGGTACTAGTTTTAAATCCGTTGCCATCTGGTGAAATAAAATAAATTTAAAATGCCTTCTACCACAAAAGAATCCTCCAAGACACATTTCTTGGAAAAAAAAAACGAGAGAGAGATTTACACTGTCCAATTGTGTTGGCTAATTTGCTTTTTGCAGAATACCCTAAAGACATGCAGTGACGCATTTTATCAGGATCCATCCCTCCCCCGTCATCTGCAAAGGAAGCACAATAGAAAAATGTAAAGACATGAGAAATTCTGCATCTAAGCTTTATTTTGAAGCATCAGGAACTAAATTTACATAACATAAAATAACTTTGAGAAATTAATAGACCTCAGCAATTCAAACCTACATAACAAATTAAGAGTAAAGAAATACAGAGCAACTACAACACTTCTGATGGGAATTAAAACCAGTAAGCAATAAAATATAGATAGAAACTAACACCCATCCATGCTACAGTCCTGAGTCTGGCATCTAGGTATAGACAGGTCACAAGAAAATCTAGGAGAGGCTAATCTAGTGTTTAACAGATTTTTGTGAACTATTCTGAGTGCTAGTATGTATATAAGGGCTCATTAGACGGCACCTTCCTGTTTCTTGAGTTAAAAAGAAAAACAGAGAGTTAAGGAAGCAAGTTTGATTGGGCACTGAACCATAATATCCTCAGAAATCAATGTAATCCATCTATTGATTCACATCTTAAGGACTATTAATCAGAACCCCATTTGAAGCCCAACCTGCAAATCATCCAACCTGAATTGCCCACCCTTTCCCTACAGAAAACATAAAAATAAAGAAAGACAGCATATAAAGACAGATAAAGACCGAGACAGGAACAGAAACAGAGGAAGTCTAAGAGCACAAAATCCTCAAAAAATGGTGCTGGTAGCAAGCTGCATACCTTCAATCAGTAGCATTCTGGTTCCATCTTTCCTACTTTCAAGCATGTCTATATTAACATATGTAGCTCTATTGCAGGCCTGAAAAAGACAGAAAATGCCAAACATCAGGAAATAAGACTTCGTCAGATTATATAATATATGTTGCAGAAAATACCTCGTCCAAAGAGTTGTCCAGAAGTTCTGCAAATGCTGAATAAACAAGACAAAAAAATCAGGTTAAACAATCAGAGAACTTTAGTGAAGGCAGGTAAAAGATCTCAATGTCAAATGCATAGTATCAAAACACAAATAAATTAAATATATTAGACAAAACTCACCTCCAAGGGCCCACTTATGACTGGTTGCATTAGAATGCAGGAATTTGGGGTGAACCCTGACATGATCCATGCCACCTGCAAACGCGGAAGAAATATGAAATATAATTGCACTTGTCACTATTCAATACTACTGGGAGGCACTCACTGTGTATGGATGGTAAGTAAAATGCACAACAAATGAGACACAAATTAACTAGGGACGTTACCAATAGTCTTGTTAAGAGGGAAAGCATGTAATATCATGCTGTTACCCGTAACAATTAATTTTTCAATGGTTCTTTCAATCTTATTAGTCTCTTTTAAATAATGCAACCAAATATTGCAACTTGTATCAGCAGGATTCTCACTCTAAGAACTTCTCAACATTTACCCAATGATCCATCAATGATAATAACACAAACAAGAACAGATATACAGCAATTCTGTTCTGCTGAAAGTAAAAAGAGATCCCCATACAACCAGTCTAGATAATTTGCCAAGGTGAGCCTATCTTCAAACAATTCATGCTTGCTCAAGCCCAATTTACCACAGGGTCAAGCTGAGCTAAAGCGTAGATGAGATCAATCTCATTGATAGTGAACCTCAAATTTGCATTTACTTATATATACATATAGATATTTAAAACTAAATCGTTTAGAAACTTTAGCATGAGCAGATTTAATATTATTGTTCATATATTAATAATTCCAATAATACAAACAAATTTTATTTTATTTCAAATATGCCACAATCGAGCTTGGACATGCTCAATATGGACACAATTACAGAACCTGAGTCCGACAAGTACAAAGCCAACTAATATATCATTTCTTAGCAAGTTCATGTTTCACCAAGAAAAAAAAGAACTTTCAAGCTGAGCTCAAGTTCACTCATATTCAATTAACCTAAACCAGAAAATCCAAATATTCAGCTAAACTCAACTTATTTTTCACCCAGTCTAGATATGTTTCCAATCTGCCCTAAATCTCTGATCGATTGATGCTGAATTTTACCAATGCTTCCTATCCTCGTCCTTTATCAGTAAGTTCTGTTCAATTTAACATTACATAACTTTTTTTCGGAAATGAAACAACTATAACAACTAAAATCCCGTCATTTACATTTGTAGAACAAGCTATATTCATGAATTATTTCAATGTTTGGAGGGGAGGACGAGCACATATTTAACTTTCTGACTATTGGCTGTTCGCAGCCATGCCTAATCCAATCACCCAATCAGAAAACACTTACTTCTAGAAAGCACCAAAAAAGAGAACAGAGAAGATTCCAGGTATGATGAAATCAGAATGCTAATGATGCACATGCTAATTCTTATTTCCGGAGAACAGAGTTACTCATAAATAACCATCAAATCTCTTCAAAAGAACCCAATGATGCACATGCTAATTCTTAAGAGTAACGCAATAGTTCTTCAATCGCGAACCCAAAAAAAAAATCAAAATATCGATAGTAAAGTTTCTATACATTCTTCTGTTTGCATTTAAATTCCCCATCAACCAGGTAAACGCCTGAAGAAAAGTAACCGTCAAGCATCAACGACATTCAACATTCAACAAACGTGTTTACCTGAAGAAAACTGCCAATCACCACAAGGGGCTCCCTCATAGTCCCCAGCCTTCCAGAACTGCTTACATCTCACAGCATCACTCACCAGCTTCTTAGGCACGAATACTGCCAACTCCATCGACGGAGCAGGCGAAGGAAGCGGTTCCTCAGGGGGAAGGGATTGCAGAAATCCCACGGGCAACACGACTCCTGGCTCATCTAACTTCCTTCTCTTCTTGGCGGCAGAACCATTAGTCCAAGCCCCACTTCTACCAGAAGCAGCAACCGTGGCGCCGTTATTTTCGTTCTCCTCCGAGTCCGAGTCGTCGGAATCATCGTCTGAATCCGAGTCGCTGCTACTACTAAGCTGGATAAGTGGGATGGGGTCTCTCGAAGGTTTATCATTCTCGTTCTTCCGCCGCATGGCGGTGGAATGTTCCATAATTTCTTGCTTTACATGAACTTCCATGAAGATCAATAAAGGAAAGAAACAATAAAAGAATAAACTCGACGAGAGATTCAAAAAGGCGAAAAGGTCAAGCAAATATAAGCGTTCAATCAATGCGGACTTTTGTAACGTGATGGTGGCGCACCGTAAGGTTCTTGTACCTCCGGGTGGCGTAAACCGCCCACCTCCAATGTCGGTTTATTTACTTCCCCCCACGCTCGTACCCACGTACAGACGCGTGATTCCGATGGCGTGTGTTCTTCAATCTCCAACCCCGCGCTGTTCCATGCTTCGATTGATATTCTGTTCTTGTAAATCGGAAGAACTTTCGTATTTAAAAAATTACTAAATGGTACAATTATATAATACCAGTGTTTTTGGTGCATGACTTGCGAATTATTTATTTTATATATATATATAAATGATTTAAATATTAACATATAAAACTAATATGATCAATATGTAACAATTAATTATTATTTTAATATGATAATATATAATAATAATTCATTTATTTTTTAACAGAAAAATAATTTTTAAATATATAATAAATTAAATAATAATATAAATATTAATTATATATTTATTTACTATAATTATATATAATAATTATTTATTTAAATATAAAAATAATATATGAATACCATTATATTTTGTATGATTTATTTTCAATTGATTACAAGCTTCAAAATTATGCATTATACAAATTGTCGATTATATACTTTTGTCGTATCTTATTCACCTTAAGATCTTTCACCAAAAAAAAAAATCAAAATATTATAATTTTTTATATTTTTGTTATAATTTTGTTCACATATGATATTAATTATATTATATTTTATGTAATTATAAAAATCATATTTTATGAATCAAATAAAGCACCAATTTACTTAAATATATACATTTATATATACGAGGAAGATTGGGAATTGACAAATGGCATATCTTTATTTGTTTTTTTATTTTCTTAACATAAAATTAATACAATAATATATATATTTTAGAATATAATTTTGCTTTTAGTTTTATTTTGTTGATTAAATAAAAAATATCTTAATCGATTATATAATTGAATTTTAATTTGAAAATTTTTTAACCGATTGATGTTATTAATATATCATGTCAGTTAAATTCATAATATATATAAGAGATAAAATAAAATAAAATTGATAATATAGATAACAGTTTTATATTGAAATCTTTAATTTATTTCAAACTTTGAGATTGTGCATTGTACAAATTTTTTATCACTTATTTGTTTTTTACATCTCATTTATCATACAAATCTTTCATCAAAAAATA